CTATAAATAGAGGCATGTTCCTTCTAACTTAATCAGCATTCACAATGTAGTTTTAAGGGCTTTGAGAGTTTTGGTTAGAGGGAGAATTTGTGGGTCACAAGCTTGATACGTTATCATTTGTGTGAACCTCCCATGTATTCCGAGTGAATTGGTTGAGGTTGTTTCCCTCTGCATTTTGTACTCTCATTATTATAGTGGATTGCTCATCTCCTTTGTGGACGTAGGTCGATTGACCGAACCACGTTTATTTTGTCAGAAATTCAGGCCAATGGGGAGATTTGTTGGGTTTTATTTGCCCTAAATTTCTTACCATAAATAGGTTTTCTTTTTAGGAAAAGGTTTTGGATTGGCTAATCCTTTTTCTGGTAGGAAAAGGTTTAGGACTCAGGAATGTTCCTTCTAACTTAATCAGCATTCACAATGTAGTCTTAAGGGCTTTGAGAGTTTTTGTTAGGGGGAGAATTTATGGGTCACAAGCTTCATACGTTATCGCTTGTGTGAACCTGCCATGTATTCCGGGTGAATTGGTTGAGGTTGTTTCCCTCTGTATTTTGTACTCTCATATTTATAGTGGGTTGCTCATCTCCTTTGTGGACGTAGGTCGATTGACCGAACCACGTTAAATCCCTGTGTCTTTTGGTATATTTCTCGTTGTCTTCTTACTCGTGGTCTTTCGAGGTTTGCTTTGCTAGCTTCCGCATTTACACCTGCTTATTTCCGATCCTAACAATACCTTCAAGTGTCTTGCAGACGGCTTGATACCCTTCCATGCTTCAAATGATGTCATATCTTGGACTGCTCTAGTTGGTAATCTATTTAGCAAATAGACAGCGGTATTGACTGCTTCAGCCTAAAAGTATTTAGGTATCTTATTTTTTGCCAACATGCATCTTGCCATCTCCATCACAATTCTGTTCTTCCTCTCAGAAACCCCGTTCCATTGTATAGTGTATTTAGCAGCTTATTGTTGTTGGATATCTTAAATGTTTACAATACTTGTTGAATTGATATGAAGTATATTCAGTTCCATTATCGGATCTAATATACTTCAATATACAGCCACTCTCCCTTTCAACCATAGCTTTGAATTCTTTGAAAACGGAGAACACTTGATATTTGTTACTAAGAAAGTAGACCCAAGTCATTCGAGTCAGATCATCTACAAAGAGAAAAAAAATATTTGTTTCCACTCAAAGAAGTCGTCCTCATTGGTCCACATAAATCTGTATGAACCAACTCTAGCCTTTCTTTAGCTCTCCAAAGGTTTCCTTTAGGAAAGGATCTTCTATGCATTTTTCCAAATTGACATTACTCACAAACATCTCTACACATGTCAATTTTGGGTACTTCAAGCACCATGCCCTTTGATTGCATATACACCAGTAAGCAAAGATTATAATGACCAAACCTTTGGTGCCAAAGACAAGTATCGCTCAATTCAACATCAAAAGAGCAAGTATCAATAGAATAGCATGAAATTGGAAAGGAATTGTCAATCATGCTAATTTTAGCTAATTCACATCCTTTAGGATCACAAATAACACATTAATTGTCCTTAAAATTAAGAGAATAATTTTTATGAAGTAATTGAGCAACACTTAACAACTTTCGAGTCAAATTTGGCACATAATGAACAACATTAATAAATGGCATACTGGAGGAGGAAATATATGTCTAGCAACCATTAGGATTTGTGAAACACGGTGATGCAAAGAAAGTCTATCTGCTAAAAAAGGCTTTGTATGGCCTAAAGAAGCGCCAAGATCTTGGTATAGTAGGATAGATGATCATCTGATAAGTCTTTGTATATAAAACATAAAGACCCTGATATATTTATTATGTCGCTTTATGTTGATGATCTTCTGGTAATAGGAAATAATACAAGGCTGGTTGAGCAGTTTAAAGAAGAGATGATGCAAGTTTGAAATGACAGATCTTGGTCTTATGACCTATTTTCTTGGAATGGAGATCAAGCAAAGAAAAAGTGAAGTGTTCATTTGCTAGAAGAAATACGCAAAGGAAATTCTTAAGAAATTTCAAATGGAGGAATGCAAGTCAATGAGCCACCGATGAATCAAAAAGAGAAGCTTTATAAATAAAATGGAGACGACAAAGTTAATGAAGGCTATTATAGAAGCTTGATTGGATGCTTAATGTATCTAACTACGACAAGGCCTGATATTTTATTTGTTGTAAGTCTGTTATCTCGTTTTATGCAGTGTACAAGTGAAATGCATTTAAGAGCAACAAAAAGAATACTAAGATATATCAAAGGTACTATTGACTATGGTGTAAAGTTTGAGAAGTGTCCAAGCTTCAAGTTGATTGGATTCTCATATAGTGATTGGGATGAATCCGCAGAGGTACCTCTGGCCATTGTTTCAGCCTAGGTTCAGGAATATTTTCATGGTCATCTATGAAACAGGAAATTTTGCACAATCCACTGCAGAAACGGAGTTCATAGCAGAAACAAAAGCAGTAAATCAAGTTTTGTGGCTGAGAAAGATTGTGTATTATTTACATTTGGAATAGAAGGAAAGTACTAGCATTCTTTTCGACAAGCAGAAAACTATTGCAATCTCAAACAAGCATTTCAACATCAAGTTCTATTTCCTGAGAGAAGTGCAGAAAAGGGGAGAAGTGATTCTAGTCTACTATAAGTCTGAAAACCGGCTAGCAGACATGTTTACGAAGCCTTTAACGATCAGCAAATTCAAGCTTCTTAGACAGAAAATTGAAGTTTCCAGTACCCAAAGCAAGGAGGAGTGGTAGGAATCTGCTTTTGAACTGCAGTGAATTGAATTACTGCCTATGTTTTAAGTAAGACTTACTCAATTAGTTGTTAGTCATGCGTTCCTATTAATTAAAAGTTGTTTAGTGAACTGCTAAAGATCGTGTGTTGTTTTTATTACTTTTCATTCTAGGATCTTATATATCAAATATGAACCATTAATAGATTTTTAATTCTACTGCTTCTATTCTTTTTGAGTCTCTCGACTTTTTATTTTTGTTTTAGCCAGTCTTCTATTTCCATTTGTGTTATTTAGCTTTAACAGGATTTTAAAACCTTCACAATTCACGTAAGAGATCGTCTATTATAGGAATTGAAACTTTATATATAATGATTGTTTGAGTAAGGTCTCTATAACCAATACAAATCCTTCAAGTCCCATCCCAATTTCCACTATGTTGTATCAATAATGATTTTTTTAACTCCATGATATTTGTAGATTCTCTTACTAACAAGATTAAATGCTTCCTTAAGATAAGTTATGTGATCAAATGACCCCTTATGTAGTTGGCAGTAAAGTAGGCATTTCAAAAGATACAATAATAGCTCTATTAGTGTAGACAAGGGTGTTGCAATCTCAGTACCTTTAGTAGCTTGTACATCATTGGAATGTCATTAAGCTTAGTGCCAGCACCTATTACGACATGGTTCTTCCCCTGGTACACAAATTCAACAGATTTGTTTTTTTAAATCAAACAAGATTCTGCCTACGGTCCTCAACCACTGCACTAATAGAATGTCCACATTTCCTAACATTTCCTAGAGGCATTAGTAGGAAATGTGAAGAAAAAAATTGTTCCATCGTACCCTTCTTCCATCAGCCTCACTTATCGATTGTTCAATGGTAGTAGTAATAAATTAACAGCAAATGGCGTTAGATACTTCTGAATGCCATCTAAAAACAAAACAGAAAATGGCACATCTATAATATATGTTGTCAAAGATTTTGATGCAAATCAGAACTTTGATGTGGAGCGCGATGCACCAAAGTCAGACATATAGTGCTCATATCTTTCTTTGAGTACAAAGGTTACCTTTGTGACATGCTATTGTGGTTCTTCAAATGTCTGGTGTTTTTAATATTCCTTCTAATATTGTAATGCTGGACCAGTACTGCCACGATTAGGCATTCTATCAGAGAAAGGCTGTATAAAGCGCACCCTAAGGTTTTTGTTAAAATGATTAGTGTCAACGGGCAATAATATCTGATGAAGAGGGGGCATTGACTCAGAAGAGCTACAGCATTGCTGCTGGAACCATTAACGAAGAGTTAAAACAATGCTTAAGGAAATAGTTTTGCAGCTAATCTTAAATCAGATAGTAGTGCAACCCTTTCTATCGAAGTTGGATAGCAAGGGTAATACTACTACCTGATTCAACATTAACGCCAAGAGTGTTTCCTTGACATTGTTTTAACTTGTAAAGCTTCTTTAATGGTACCAACAGCAATGTCGTAGCTCTCCAGAATCAAAAGATCCTTTTCTTCACCAAATATTATTGCTTGTTGACACAAATCCTTATAACGATTGACCTTATCCTGCAAGTCATCCAGTCCTTCTCTAATGGAATGCCTGATCGTTGCAGCATTTGTTTAGCATTGCAATATAGACTTAGAACGAATCTAAAGACACCAAACATTTTAAGAACCACAATAGCATGTCTACAAGGGTGGCCTTTGTACTCAAATGTATGGCATTAGCAGTATGTGTCAAACTTTGGTGCATCCCGCTCCAATACGAAGTCCTGATTTGACAACATATGTTATAGATGTGCCGTCTTGTAATTCATTTTATAGATGGCATACAGAGGCTTCTAAAAAAGTAAAATACCGTAGTGTATTGGCGCCTGGTGGACATCCACATAACAGTTACCAGAATGCTAATATTTGAGAATTGTATCAACACCACGACATAACAGTCATGCACCATATCGGAGTTCGGATTAGCAGAACCTCACCTCCTATATTAGCAGAATCTAGATCTGCTTATTTGTTGTAGATCTTTTGCTAACAACTGCTGATTTACTAGCTTTCAACCCATGAAATCGAATAAAACTCAACTTTCAGTGCCTCAATTATATCTGTAGTTTACCACACAAGTAAAAATTTGCTAATAAACCAAGCACTTGCTGCAGTAAAACTCCCTATTTTAGCATGACTAGGATCCAACAACTTTACGAACCACATGAAGTATTAAGCTACTAAACTCACTGGTCACTCTCTTGCTCTTATTTAATTCACAAAGTAGATCTTCTTATAACTACTCATAATCCAACAGAGTAAGAAAATCATTCTTAATCTTTAAACAAGATAGCGTTCCATCATATCTTCTATTGGCCTCAAGATATTTACTAAACCACATCATCCGGTAATGTATTAATTGACTTTGCTTTTGCAAAATAACATACCGCTAAGACAACTCTGTGTAGTAATATCAACTTTAACCATAATAACTGTCCAAAGAATATAAACACAAAAAAATATGATTAAGAGATCAATGAATATTATCATGGATAACAAGAGATCTCAAAAACAGCAACCAAGTCTAACATGCGATTTTTTATCACTAAGAACTCTAACAGTTGTGTTTTCTTGCATATACAAGTCTTAGATTGCCAAATAAACAGTCTATATATTAACGCTAGACTTATGGTTCACTAAGCTACTATTGTAATTCATATCAGCTAAAGCAAGCTTAAGAGTTAAAGTATAGGGGTATTACCTTTTATTAGATAGCTAGGAAAATACATGACGCCTTCTGCCTAGTAAGCGTGAAAGCTAGATCCAAATATAGGTGAAAATAGATATATAAAAGAGTGATAAAAAAAGTAAAGTAGCATATTGTAGGCCCCTAATTTGAGGAGATGGGGATATCCCTGAGGCCGTAAAGGACTAGAACCACCAAAGAAACTCTATCCATAAGTCATCGATTTTGCAACTTTAAAGGCACTAGCATGAACACAATCAGCAGCTTAGCTTCTTGTTGGGAGGCAAAAATTTGCAGAGCCAACATTGAAGGTAAGCCACCAATTGAGTCTCATCTTTGAGTAATTCTTCCAGGCCTAGCTCGACAAAAGGGGCATTTTCCCTCTTCAGTTTGTGGTAAGAATAACTGCTGTCAAATGTTCCCTGAATGATCATGATTCATCCTCAGCTTTTTCTGGTTCTTAGATGTCTTTAGGGAAGGCTCAAATTTTCTTGTTCCTCGAAACCAGAACTTTGTTCAATCACAAAAGTTAACTTCATCAATGACACCTTTTATAAGTCGGTAAAACGGCAAAACAAGTAAGAGCAGCTTCTAGGGAAAAATGACTTCCCTTGGTCATTTGCATGAGTCAACTCCTTAGGCCGAAGGTATAACTTCATCATCAAAGGACCCATGAATAGCAAGGCCTCCAATGGTAGATTAAAATATTATAAATATTTAGTTAATTACATGTTTAAATATTAGTGATAATCGGTTATTACATTGAGTAAATGGAGAGTTCATGTGTTCAAAGAAAGGATTGGTTAATGGAGGTTCATTGCATATATTAATATTCTTAAAGTTGTTCTATTTTATCTATTATGGCCCTTTGAAACCTTCAAATAATATTTAATTAAAGACCTTAAGATGTCTTTTGATATTCCACTATTTTTATGTATATAAGTTATCTTTTTTGTTTTATGAAACTCACATCCACAATCATCCTTTTCATTTTGTAGTTAAAGTAGTGAAATCATCAACATCTAAAGTATATGATATATCTACCTTAGTTTGATTATATATCACTTTACGAAAATAACGTGATTTTTCTATTTGATTCATGCTTTAGTTTGACTCGATGGATTAAACTTTTGAATTTTGATTGGATATGTTGAAGTTGTCGACAAAAACTTGAAAAATTATGCACCGATTCTGAATATTTTTTTTCATTTATATAATGTTATCATTAAAGTCTTAAAAAGGCTACATATGTTATTTTTTTCTTCTATGTTTATTTTTTTGATATTGCTCATTAGTCTTATTTAATTTAGTTTTCTATAAATTATTATCATAACATTTATTTGAGATTATTGCATTTTAGTACTCATTACACACATATTTTCGTTGAATTTTAATCGTCCTAACAAATCTATAACATATTGTATGAGACACACGTGTGTTGCATGTGTCCAGAAACTAGTATACACATTGAACAAACATGTGTCTCGTGCAATATGTTATAAATACGTTAGGACGATTAAAATTCAATGAAAATATGTGTGTAGTATGTACTAAATGCAACCAACTCAAATAAATATTATGATAATAGAAATTAAAATAAAGAAGACTAACAGAGAAATATCAAAAAAAACATCGAAGAAAAAAATAACATTCGCAGTCTTCTTAATACATTAATCATAACATGTAAATAAAAAAAACACAAAATAGGTACATAATTTTCCATGTTTTTGTCGATACATTCTCTCATATCCAATCATAATTCAAAAGTCTTCTCCATCGAGTCAAACTAAAGCATGAATCAAAGAGAAAAATGACATTACTTTCATAAAGTGATATATAAGCAGACTAAGCTAAGGTAGATATATCATATACTTAAGATGTCTTCACTACTTTAACTATAAAATGAAAAGAATAATTGTAGATGTGAGTTTCATGAATCTAAGAAGATGAATTTATATAGATAAAAATAGTGGAATACCAAAAGATATCTTAAGGTCTTAAATTAAATACTATTTGAAGAAAAATTTTATTATGGATGAGGCACAACTTATACTAGATGTATGAGGGAGTACTTTATTATTGTGTATAAAAGTTTTCATTTATATAAATTATCAAATTCAAATAGATTAGCTAATAAATTTTGAGAGCTACAAAAGAGCCAGAAAAATATGGCCAGAATTTGGCCAAAACGTACAAAGACTATACTAATTTTTTAGTTTAAAATAAAAAATATATATATTAAAATGTTAGTCATTTCCTAAAATTACAATTTTAATTAAAACACTGATTCATAGGTTTAGAATATGAAGAGTCCCATTGGGACAATATTTTCCTTTAATTGAAGCAGCCAAATCTATTCCCAAAACTTTATTCTACTAAATTAAATAGAGAAAAGGAAATTGATTAATTGGAACTTCATTCCTGCTCCATGATTAAGTTACGCATTTTAGTTTCTAAATCAAATTAAATTCCTAGAAGTTAAGCATTTCCTTTTTTTGATTTTTTTTTTAAAAAATAAATCAAATTATTTATGTAAATAATTTTACATTAAATTAAACTATATGTTTAAATTATTTTTTCAATATAATTTGTAAAATATTGTGAAACGATAACTCAAAATACATTAGACCTGATGAATATATGTATTGGAGTATCTTACTAAAGTAAACAATATGTAATGATCACTATAATTTAACAGTGAATAAATAATTTTCTTCGAATAGAAGCTCAAAGTGTAGAAATTGAAAAGTGAAGTAATGTGGGTATACATCGAATTATATTGGGTGAGTCGATCAAAAAAATACTAGTAAGATCTTAATTTTGGGATTCAAATTTATATGGTAAAGAAATACATATTCAAAATTTTATTTATTTGTCATGAGGCCCATATTTATGGCATATAAAATAATTTATTTTGCCATGTCAAATTTATTTTAATTTTAAGTGATTTTTAAAGCTAAAAAAACTTTAAATTAAGTAATTTTATTAATATAAAATAAATTTCAATAATTTTGTTAGATAATTTTTCATAAGATATTAACTATATTAAAGCTATTGTGATATATTAATTCATCTTAAAGGTTAATTTATTTTTCCGATTGTTAAAGATGGTCCTCTTGTTATTTTGAGTTCTCATTGATTTTAACCTATTTAATTTGATCATTTAACTATTTTTAGATGTATGTTCTAAAGTATTTTGCCCTTTTACTTTATACACTTATTCTTGATATTATCATATCATTTCATAGTGTAAATTGAGAATACTTACGTGAAGAACTAAAGCATTTGATCACTTCTTATCCTCTATATTATAATGATTTGATAAATTGTGAATAATTACATATATTTATTACTAAAATGACTTTTAATTAAGTATTTTTTTAAATTATTATGTATAAATAAAAAATAAACTATATATTTAAATAATTTAAAAGTAGTTTGTAATATTGAGGTGAAGACGTCTCAAAATACATTAAACATGGTAAGTGTAGATAATTATAGAAATCATACATAAAGTTCATCTATGTCGAACCAAAGAAAGTCAAACATTTATAGTGTTAATCATACAAGTCTTTCCTCCTATATTATGTCGATTTGATTAAGTTGTGAATCATCACTTATATTGGTTACTAAAATGATCTCCAATTAAGTAATTTTTTTATAAAATTATAATGTTTAAATAAAATTAAGCTTTATAATTTAATCATTTTAAAATGTAATTAAATATTGAGACAAGGACAACTCAAAACACATTACACTTGGTAAATATCGATAGATATAGAAATTATGCATATAGCTGATATATGTCGAACCAAAGACTGTCAGACATTGATATTATTAATCATATAAGTTTTATCTTCCATATTATGTCGATTTGATAAATTATGAATCAATACTTATGCTTGTTGCTTAACTTACCTCCAACTATGTAATTTGTTTTATTAATTAAGTTTCAATAAAATTAATCTATGTAAATAAATAATTTTTAGATGTAATTTGTAAATATTGGGATAATGACAACTTAAAACACATTAAACCTGATAATTGTCAATAGCTATATAATCATGTGTATAGCTCATACATGTCGAACCAAAGAGAGTAAGATATTAATAGTATTGTTTATTAATAGTATTGATCAAACAAGACTTATCTCCTATATGTAAATCATTACTTATATTTATTACTAAAATGACCTCCAATTAAGTAATTTTTTTTATTATGATATTTAAATAAAATATATTTAAATAATTTGTAAATTTAATTTCTAAAATATTGAGATAATGACAAATTAATATACATTAGACTCGATAAATATCGACAATTATAGAGAGAGAGAGAGAGAGAGAAGACATGCAGACACCATCAAAGTTGTCCCGTATTTGCATAAAAACACCTTAACTTTTAAAGTGTCCTATCACCCCACAAAACTATTTAATTTCTTTGTAAATAGGCCATTTTGACCCATTTTCTCGTCTTTGTAGTGGCGCATGTTGCTCAACTCCATATGATCTAATTTAACCCGACCCGACCCTGTTCTTTAAAGAGAAGTCATCTTCTCCATTTCTTTTCTTCTCTGTTTGGCTTGCACCTTCAAGAAATTTTCATTAATTTTTTTCATTCGAACTTTTTTTTTTCAGCTATGGAGTTAGGTGACAACAAAATTTTGAATGTTGGATTGTTATTAGTTGCAACCTTTTTGGTAGCAAAACTCATATCTGCACTAACTTTCCTAGCTAGAGCAAATGGAAGCGATACACCTAAATAACTCCAAGCTTGTGTGCACTGTGAAACAACTCCAATTTCAGTCTTACAAATTCGTTTCAGGTCACCATAAAGAGAGCCATTGTTGTCTGGCAAGATAACTGATCAGGAGATCAAGCTCCTTTTATATCGATTGTAGCTTTGTGATGACATCATGAATAGAGTTTTCAAGACTCTCTCAACCTGATTAGGGTGTGAACTTATGCAGAACAGGATTGGGGTTGATGTTCATTTTGGATATTCCACACATTTGTGCTAGCTCAGAACAAAACTCATGCGTAACACTTTCTTGCACATTGCAAGAAAAGTTTATGTAGATCCAATTGACAACAGTTCCTCCATTAACCATTTTCTTGGTCATCATGTTCCATCAGCCAACTTGTGGCAGACAATCTTTTTTTCAGCCATTATGGCCAGTTGTGATGCTTAGACAGGAGCATCCATATCTTGGAACTGTTTACTTTGAATTTATTGAACAAGAACATTCGATTCTTCATTGATCCAGAAGTTTCTCACCAACAGTGGTGTCTTATTTTCTTAGAGAAGATGATGAAGTGGTCAAACAAAGAGTATCAATGTTGATTTTGCTACGGAAAAAAATATGAAATCGAAAAATTAGGCTAACAATGATTATTTTGGATTTATATTTGGGGAAGATGACATAAATTGTTTAAATAATTAATAATAAAGAAAAATAATGACATATGACACCTTTCAACTGGTCCATGAAAGTAAAAATAATGCATGACGCGCCTCGTGTGCGTGGTAACAACCCAGACTAGGGAATGGGTCAAAATGACTCATTTACAAAGAAATTAAATAGTTGTGTTGAGGTGATAGGATACTTTAAAAGTTAAGGTGTCTTAATGAAAATACATGACAACTTTGATGATGTCTTTATGTCTTTTCTCATATATATATATATATATATATATATATATATATATAGAGAGAGAGAGAGAGAGAGAGAGAGAGTCAAATAAAAGAGATCAAGATATTAATATTATTAATCATACATTTTTTATCCCTATATTACGTCGATTTGATAAATTATGAATTACTTATATTTGTTATTAAAATTACCTTCAAATTCTAATTAAGTATTTTTTTTAAATTATGTTTGAAATAAAATAATTTAGTATTAAGTAGATTCAGTTAACACAAATATTTTG